CTCACAGTTACATAGCACGGACTGCCATGTTGCAAGGGTAAATCAGGCAGCGTCAGTCTTTCGTACGCATAACATCCTTTTTCTGTAGAGGTGTGTTCAGGTGTATGAGCACTAAAAGTGAGCGGTGGCCAAATTGCAAGAAAGTATTGATGTTTGCAACATAGAAGCCTAGCAGTAGAATCAAAACACAATCTTATGGCTCCGTTTTGGTTCTCAAGGAAGCCGCTCGAAGCCTCATGTCGAAATCCCAGCAGAGTTTTAATACATTCACAGCACTTCCCAGTAATCATTCCGTGCAAAATATCAGGTACCGGTAGACACTGCAAGTGTCAATGAGAGAAGTTAGCAAATGCTCCAATTTATGTTCGTGCCCTCACTTCTATTTATCCCGAAAACAATATAATTTACCGAAAAAGATCATTGGATACAAATGTACCACGTTTGCCCTAAACAATTTTCGCTGCAGTAAATATTTGAGGAATTGGGATCCAGATTCTCCAAGAAATGCAGAAAGATCGTCATTTAAACTGTTCGTTATTGTTTTCCAATTTTAACCAGACTTGGAACTTATGAACGCATTATATAATAACATTGCATGAAAATCCTTTCAGTTGTTCTGGAATTGTTACATATAGGCACAGACATAGCGAAGTTAGTAGGCGCATTTGTGCCACTTTGCGTTTCGAACGCGTCAAGAATCGACTGCTGGCTCTTCTACTCTGAAACTGGAGGTAATAAGTTCCGTCGAAACGTTAGTATCTACGATAGTACACGGCATTATGTCCCGTAATCTTAATATTCATTGCTGCGAGATCCTTAGATCTTACTTAGATATTTTTTTCTCTCTTATTGTGTGAGCTGTTTCTTCATGGAATGCTTTAGGCCTCGAATATTTTCCCTTTTCTTCTTACTCATAGTGTTTCAATTATGTTTACTTTTTAATCGCAAATATTGTTGTGTTCTTTAATGCAATCTGATGTTAAACTTTCAGTTTAAAGTAGGTAAGTTTGTATTGCTGTTTTGTAATGCTATGATCGCGAAGTAAACAAGTAGTTCCGAGAAGAACTAACCGTATAGTTTCCTTTGATACGACACGGACCTCATAGAAAGCGAAAAAATAGGGCGATACGCAGAGGGACGGGGCACGCGGTAGCGTAGTGGTTAAGGTACTATGCTACAAACCGGAAGGTCGCGGGTTCAAGTCCCGATGAGGTCATTGGGTTTTTTCAATTGACCTAATCCTTTCGGCCGCACTAGGCCCTGGGGTTTACTCAGCCTCTAACAGAAATGAGTACCAGGAATTAATTAAATATTTTTCCTGGGGAGTAAAGCGCGGCCGGAGCGTAAGGCTGACAACCGTACCGCCATCTTTGAGCCGATTGTCAAGGTAATGTGGGAACCTCAACATGTCACAACCCTATGGGCCTTCACGGCCTCTTACAGGGATAGCTTTACTTTACTTACACAGAGGGACAGCCAGTTGGTCTCATAGGCCTCTTTGATTCATCGCAGACCGCAGAGAAAACGAAAAAGTTAAGGGAGATACACAACAAGGTGATCTCATAAGCCTTTTATTTCTTCAAAATATGGAAAGTAAACTAGAAGCGATAACGTACCGGTGCTTAATTAATCCCCCACAAACCATGGAAACATGTTACAGCTCCGTATTCTTAACCTTGACATTAGTTCGAAGTGAATTGTTAGCTTCACATTGTGACCGCTCTACCTCCTACTCTATACAAGTCAGGTAGGAGACTAGATATGACCCAGAGACCGTCTGGGCCTGGTGGTAAAATGAAAAATCCCTCTCCCTGTTGGAAGTCAAATACTGATCCACCAGCCTGTAGCCACTGAGTTTAGTGACTGGGCTATCTCGGACAATATTCGAAATAAGTTAAATAGCATTAAAACAGAAACGTGTTTGATACGAAAAATGCTCCTTAATATTGCACTTCTGCTTGAACTTTAATTTGTGCCACTTCCATTTACACGTTTAAGTTTTATAAGTCTTATAATATTTGTAAAATGAGAATTATAGGCGTAAATAGTCGTGTTGTCCCACGTCTTTCATGTTCGAGCAACCATGTTGTATGCAGTGGTTAGGCTCGCTTCGAAAACAACGTATGGTTTAATTTTATGGCGCGTGTACTGTTCGTTATCGAAGAGTTATGGCGCATTGTATCGGGCTCCAGATAAAGCAAATTTGTTTTTCCTTCGAAAAAGTTGTAATGTTTTTTATTCTAGAGAATGCCCTTCACCTTTTTGGCACAAGTTCTTCTTCATATAGTATTATTATTCTTTCCTTCCTTCCTTCCTTCTTCGCTTTTCAGTCGCTGTTAATGTTGATTTATAAATGCTTTTGTTCAAATACATTTTGGCATAGTTTTTAAAAAGTTTCCCTAAGTGGAATCATTCTAATTTTGCTATGTGATAAGTCGTTATTTCCGCAGTAATCTCGAAATTGAAGAAGGAAAATAATTTCCTTTGGTATTTGTTCTGATGGTGGGGGCACGCGGTAGCTTAGTAGTTGAGGAGCTGTGCTACAAGCCGGAAGGTCGCGTGTTCAAGTCCCGATGAGGTAATTGGATTTTTTTCAGTTGACCTAATCCTTCCAGCCGCACTAGGCCCTGGGGTTTACTCAGCCTCTAACAAAAATGCGTGCCAGGAATTAATTAAATAGTTTTCCTGTGGAGTAAAGCGCGGCCGGCGCGTAGGGCTGACAACCTAACCGCCATCTTTGAGCCGATTGTCTAGATTAGCCGTGTCAAACATGCGGCCCCCATAGCCACAAAGTGCGGCCCCTCAATTTCAGAGCTAATTGATATTAAAATCAAATTTAAAATTTTAGAAATATTTTTTGTAAAGACAATTTTCCAACAGACTAGAAGACAAGAAGTCTCACGCAGACATAAATTAGCAGGCTGCAGGAAATTCAATGTTTTGCTATTTCTAACATAATTTCTTGTGTAATCTCTCTTTTTACATATTGAAAAGTTGTTTGATACTTGTCAAAAATGGCATTCTCTTGCTTCTTTAAAACTGTAAGATATGTGACTTTAGGTAATTATATTGAAATTATTCCTAAATAATAAATAGAATTAAATTTCCTTGTATCAAAATCTAATGTATATTTCTATTTTGAAGTTCGGCCCTGGACTCTTATTTATACGGCTGAGGTGGCCCTTTGTACAAGTTGAGTTTGACATGCCTGGTCTAGATAATTTGGGACCCTCAACGTCTCACAACCCTATGGGCCTTCACGGCCTGGTACTGCTTTACTTTTTTTTTATTTGTTCTGATGGTAGTCAAATCCAAAATGGTAGTTTTGTTTTGCCTATCATGAAGGATGGATGCATATTTTGAACAAGTTCGATTATTTGTATGAACCGAATGAAGCCCCGATGTTACCTCAGTCTAGGTTTCAACCAGAAACCCAAAAGAGACAAGACTCGGGAGGAAGACGGAGACACGTATATAGGAGATTTAGTATAATAATAAAACGAGGAGGAAGTGGCATAATGGGGAGCCTAATAATCTGTACTATTCACAAAACTTTATTAATGTTTCAAAGGAGGCTAAAATGGGTGGGGCATAATAGCACGCATAATGGACACAAGAAATGTGTGCAGAATTGTGGCCGGAAGATATGAACTAAAGAGAATTTGGTTCATGTAGCTTTTATACAGAATAATTCTGAGATGAACTGTTCTTCATACAGATCATTGATTATTTCTTCAGTTGAATCATAACGTTATGAAAATTCCTAAGACAGTTTTCAGTGATACCTCAGATAAGACCGAAGACTTTGTGACGATGGTATATTAATACAGTAATGTCCATTGATGCCGCAGGCGATTTACATCTCAAGCGAAAGAGTCCGAACAATTCCGACCTTATTTTTTGTTAAGAAACTTCAGAAACTAGGCGATAAATTTGAAATTTGTTGAACGACCTTCAGGTATTTACGATAGCTGTTAGGATAGGACTAGAGCTTAATGGGTAGAGTTAGTGCGTGACTTCTGCTTTCGGGGCGAAGCCGCGTCGAATGTTGCATTCCACGCAGCCCGAAAGTCTCGAAAGCCACAAGCCACAAATTTAAGGCAAAATGTTTACCATTTAATAAAAATGAATATTATTGCCCGGCTTATTTAATATATTGAATGACGCGTTCTTCTTTGAAAATGGAGGCATGGTGGACAAAGTGGCGCTGGGGCAGGTTTTCTCCGAGTACTTCGGTTCCCCTGCCAATCGTCATTCCACCAATTGCTCCACAATCACCCTCACCTATCATCTGGGGCTGGTACAATAGGCCAGAAGTGGCCGCAGTACAGGGGACTTAGTCCCACCCCACTAGCAATAACAAAAATCACCATGAAGAGTGTTTCAGTAGTCCCTGCAGATTGAAACGTGTGGAAAACGTGTTTAATAATACGTAGTACATAAAGATTTAAAATGTGTTGCCATGTGAGCTTGTATGGGCCTTAAATTATTTTTAATTTATGTTTGTTAAATAGATGTCATATCAATTCATAGACCTGTGTCAAACTTTAGACATACACTTCTTGGTAAGACTTGATTTTATGTCATGCCCCAATATTTTTTAGCAATGAGCCGTTTTTTTTTCAGTACAGATTCATTGTTTGGCCCATATGGACGAAAATGAAATTGCATGACTGATCGTGACTGTAGATTTTTCATTCCAAATTTGATTGAAATCCTCTGGGTTATGAGTCTGAGACATGAAACACATGGACTTTCCCGTCCCGTTAGTCGTTCATTTTTTGCTCTCCGTGCAAGGAACGCATTACAAGGAGTGAATTGATTTCATAATGCGAAATACAGCCTTTATTTGGCACGCCGTAACAGAAACAGGAAAATAATCGCCGAAGAAAATAAACCGATTTCAAAGAAAGAAACCAAACAAATGCAATTTATCTTTTCTTTGAATTTGAAAGAAGGTGAGCGTATGACGTATTTATGGATTTTTCTCAGAGTTGATAGTTTAGAATTGCTATGAACGCCATTCAGCTCTGTCCGTCAGCGAAAGAGGAACAGACGGGAACGGTGTTTCTATCTCTTTCTGTCTCGGGTTTCGCTCATTGCCTTCCTTCCGTGCAGCCAGCCAGTCGCACTAGGCCAGCCTCTGGCCTCGGACATACACACCCCCGGCCGGTGCTTGTTTCGGTACTGTACAGCAGCTACACCGCCCTGACTTGGAATGGCGTGTGTTCGCGGATGTCATATCATCTTGTCTGCACGTTTTGCTGTGTTTGTTGTGACTGGTGTGTGGTAATGTCCTACATACATCGAAGAGGTAACAGTACAGAGAATATGTACACAGCGCTATGGACTGTGAACAAGTGACGTGACTGCCTTTGCAAAATGAGAAACGAATAAGTGCATATTAAATTTGTTTCCCATACATGTTGGGCTGGAATGCAATGAAAACACACCGTTGCATAATTGAAGGGTTAATAAGTAGGCTAATCTCAGTGGTTGTTATTGCGTTGTTTACAATCCTTTACTTTTTTTATGGACCTCTTTCAGTGATCTGTTATTTATGAATGTCTCACGTAACAGCGGGACGTAGTGTTAGAGCATTGAAGTGCAGCTTTCTGTTACATCTTATGACGTCTAAAATTGAAGGAAATTTAATTTAATTTGATTTATAATGAAGCATGTTTATTGCAACATAAGTACGGAGTTGAGAATATGATACTGTAGTGCTATAGGCTTACATGGCAAGTGTCTGGTCAAACATTTCTATATTTCATAGGAATTCCACGAGAAAACCACGTGCTACAGATATGTTTAGTGTCATCGATTTGCAACCTAAAACACACACACGTACACGCACACACACTACCAGCTATGCGTACCCAAAGTGTTGAGTGAGTCTTGGTTTATTTCACGACGTTTGCTTGGCTACCTTGATTATTTAGTATCTAATGTTAGGATGAGCGTAGGCTATAGATTAAGGAGTGGAACGTAGCTTTTTGCCCTTTTTAAAGTACTACCCCAGCATTTCCTTGGAGAGTTTGAGGAAAGTCACGAAAAGTCTCATTCCGGGTAGTCTGTCTCGTGGTCGAATGTCGAATCGAATACGAAATCAGAATACCAACCACCCATCCGTGACTTTCGGTATGTCATGCATCATCCTTGTCTGTAATTCGGCCCAGGTCTTCGATTCAATGTGTTGAAGTGTTATAAAATACGTTCTCCGAGCATTGCAATATTAAGCAAATTACGAAGCTGATTTAACGGCACTGTATATTTCACACACCAAGCGACACGTGGCAGAGTACAGGGTCATCGGAAACTAATGCAGGGATTATAAAGAAAACTGTTAAACATATCACATGATTTAAGCGTTAAATTGCTAAGAAATGTCTCAAGTTTTTGTCTTACTCTGGGATATGTTTCGATATATGCTGCAGCTGTGTTCGATTTCATGCCAAGTCCGCAGAATCATACCTGGAATTACCTCTGCGATGGCTTCTGTGATCCTATCCCGTAGGTGCCGGAGAGCCCGAATCTTTCACCATAGACAATGTTCTTGATGTATCCCCACAGAAAAGCCCATCAGCGTAAGATCTGGGCTACTGGGAGGCCAAAAGATTGGTCCACCGCTCCCATTCCAGGCATTGTGGAACTCCTCATTCAAGTTGTATGGATTGGTCAACCGCTTCCATTCCAGGCATTGTGGATCTCCTCATTCAAGTTGTACGGATTGGTCAACCGCTTCCATTCTAGGCGTTGTGGACCTCCTCATTCAAGTTGTACGGATTGGTCAACCGCTTCCATTCCAGGCATTGTAGAACTCGTCATTCAAGTTGTATGGATTGGTCAACCGCTCCCATTCAAGGCGTTGTGGAACTCCTCATTCAAGTTGTACGGATTGGTCAACCGCTTCCATTCGAGGCGTTGTGGACCTCCTCATTCAAGTTGTACGGATTGGTCAACCGCTTCCATTCGAGGCGTTGTGGACCTCCTCATTCAAGTTGTACGGATTGGTCAACCGCTTCCATTCGAGGCGTTGTGGACCTCCTCATTCAAGTTGTACGGATTGGTCAACCGCTTCCATTCGAGGCGTTGTGGACCTCCTCATTCAAGTTGTACGGATTGGTCAACCGCTTCCATTCGAGGCGTTGTGGACCTCCTCATTCAAGTTGTACGGATTGGTCAACCGCTTCCATTCGAGGCGTTGTGGACCTCCTCATTCAAGTTGTACGGATTGGTCAACCGCTTCCATTCGAGGCGTTGTGGACCTCCTCATTCAAGTTGTACGGATTGGTCAACCGCTTCCATTCCAGGCATTGTAGAACTCGTCATTCAAGTTGTATGGATTGGTCAACCGCTCCCATTCAAGGCGTTGTGGAACTCCTCATTCAAGTTGTGTGGATTGGACAACCGATAAGAACATCTCAGCGTCGCTCGCTACACTTCTCCAAAACTCTTAAAACTTGAATCGTTTCGATATGCTTAACAGTATCTGAATGACAGGTTTTTATAATCCCGGCATTCTTTTTTGACGAATGTGTACCGTGCACACGCGTTACTTCCGTCACTGGATTTTCTTAAGTGATATACAGGTTTAAGGAAAGCTAGCATGCTTGCTGAGGTAGGCAAATATCTGCTTAGCGGTTTAGGTAATGTATGTAACACGGTAAATCGCAGATTTCTCTTTACTATCATAGTAACTTAAGTCATTTTGCTTACCTGGTTCGAATCTGTCCCTGGATTCCCGGCTCTCATAAGGATTCCCGTGGTTTTCTTGTGCCCTCCAAGCAAGTGGCGGGGCAGTAACTCAAGTAGGCCACGGGCGCTTTGTAACCGTACTTCCCTCGTCAAAATTATATAATTAAGGGTATGAATTACTTATACATTGTTTAATANTTACTGACTATATCGCTAAATTAATTACAAATAAATATTTACTGAACTCTGTGCAGCGCGAGGCTGGGAATGGCTGGAGTTTTAACTTCGCAACTTCATACTTCCATGAAGCTCAGTGCCGTGCCGTGGAACTGTTAAACAGTCTCCGTTTCTGTATTTTATTGTAAACTGATTATATTTTATTGTAAATTTCTTGCGCAGATATGTGGCTGCATATATGAGTACCTAACTCTCTAAAGTGCAAGGGTTGATGTGTGTAACACACGCCTTAGAATTAAATTTTGTTTTGTTTCTTTTTGCGAGTACTTAACGATACTGTGTAGCACCCGATAGTAAGATGGCTCATGAATGATGAATTGGAAACGACGTGGACGGAAGTGGTCGTTGCTTCAACGATGTACTGTCTCACCATTTACCTGTAGGGACTGATGAAAACCGGGTAGAGCCTCAAGGTGCCTGGTTATCAGGCCGAACTTTGAACCGAGTACCTCCCGAATACAAGTCCTTGAGCCTTACCCCTAGAACCAACTTCTTACATTTTAGCATCAAAAAGCTGTATTTTTTATCCACAGAGTGTATTTGTGTTTCGTATGTTTTTCAAAACGAACACTGTTAATACCCCAAACAGCATTGGATATTCGGGTCTTTGTAACAGACACACATTGTATTTTCAGTGCTGCAGGAACTGAATTTTAAAATATCACGTGTAGGAGGGTATGCGTGTCGCAAATAACATGTTCTAGATCGGATGACTGGTTTTATTGACACTTCGGTTAAAAGTTCTCTTAATTACAATTAATACAGCGCTATCGCCGATTTACTCACTTTCCAGTTCACCGTTGCACACGCACTAAGATTTTCTTTTTCCACTAGTCGTCTCCTAGCAATGGATCTCAACACAGAAACCAGCACTTCAAATCACTATGAAGTCTTCTTGCCATTTCTTGTTCAGTCACCCTGGAACCTCGGAACTCAACTAAAAATTCTTCTGGACCCTTAACTACAGTTCACTGCACTGTACTAATCTGAGTCCAAGTCCAAGTCAAAGTCAGAGTTACTTGACGACTGGCGGTTTACCGCCAATCAGTTCATCTTGGCGTCAGGCCCCTTGAGGCCCACGACCAGAGACTTTTTCCCACTGAACTCTAGAGGTAATAGTCCTTATGTAATATCCTCTCTGACGGGAAGATGGGTTTGTCTGTTATGAATACACTTGGCCTTTCATCAAGTGTATATTTCGCAGATATAACATGTTACTGAAAATTCTTCCGTTTACACTACACACAAGTCCTTTGTCAGTACAGGGTTTACAGAGCAGATCATGCCTAACTTACATATCTTGTGCTACAACGGCAACTTAGTCATTTGAACGGTAGTAAGCTTGACCACCGCCAAGTTTAAGCCTCTTATATTTTACTACTCTGGTTTCTCTTCAGTGAGCATAAATATTTCGCCTTTTATTAAGCTGAGCTATAACAGGTCTTCGTTATATAGGCTGCGCACGGACAACACAGAAATCAAATCACGTTATTCCTAGCCAGCGAGTTCATTGGCGCGCTAACTTTTGCCTGTAAACGAGCTATAACATTCGTCCAGTGAGACACATCTTCCATTGTTGCCCTTTGGAACGTGCTTACCGAGCCGTTACCTAGAAACTCTTTGAACAAATCCGTAACAGTATTATTTAGATATACATGAGACTTCAAAAGTTTAAAATGAAGTGTGTGCCATCGCTAAATATGATGGAGTTTTCGGGTTATAAATTTGTTGCAGATTTACCGATCTTAATTATGAAATACGAGTCTCTACAGTGCGCATTATTTGATCCACGGATTTTTCTATCGTATTGTTTAGTTTTTCTTATGTCGGAATTTACAGTTATTTCATTTTAATTTCATCCTACATCTCCACTAAATTCAAACGGTGAAGTAATGCATCCGATCTGACATGTGATAATTAACTTATTTGTACTACCGGCGGAGCGTGTGTGTTTGCTGGCACGTGACGCAAGAGTGGCGATCGTTGTGTACAGTGAAACATGGAGCAAATCCTTTGTATTAGTAGTTTAAGTCATGCTTTTATAGGTGTTGGAAATCACGGGACTCAAAGCAGTATATCCCTTGATAGAATAAGTTAAAAAAATGCTATTATAATCTACATAGTTGTCGAGTCTATGTTTAAGTGTTTTAATGAACAGACAGGGAGTAAAAATTACATTAGAGCCTTTGACAGACGAAACATCAATAAAAGGGAGCCTGAAGGATTGTACGTGTTTCGTCACCATGAATTTATGACCTTTGATCTCTTTTCGCTCCAAAATGTATAATTCAGCCATCCATCAGTTCCCTTTAGAGATCTTCTGGAACTTCATTATAGCTGGATATTTTAAAAATTTGCTTCATACGCGCTTTCATATATACGTGTCTATGTATACATGCATATAGGGTATCTATGAAACGTCTGCCAGACTCTCAAGTTATTTTGATTTTGAGTACAAAATGTATATACATGATACAAATTCTTAGTTATTACTGGGCTGTTTGGGAACTGAGGAAATGCAAAAAAAGAAAAAAAAAGCAACATTATTTTGTTATCGTGTGTATCTTATGCATGTTAATGTTATGGCTACTTTTGATAGAGAAGAGACATATTGGGGCCTAAAGTTCATATGAGATTTGAGTTTACTGGGCAGTGAAAAGTTATGGCATGTAGGCTTCTGGTCAGTTTTTGTTTTCAACGACCGAATGGTACAGTACCAAACCCGGGTGGTAAATGAGAGACGTGGAACATCTGATGGTAAGAGAATTGGCAGGAGGAACCAAAGTACTCGTAGAAAACCTGTCATAATGCCACTTTGTCCACTTGTAATCACACATGAATTGACCTAGCATTAAACATGGTCGTCGTAGTGAGAAACCGGCAACCAACCGCCCGAACGATAGCACGGCCTTCTGTTTCCTTACTAAGTTTCAGAAGAACTGCGCCTCCATCTTCACTTCAGAAGTGACTTCCTCTAAAATGAATCTAGCAGCTTTTTTCGAAGCTCGCCTTTGCATGATTGCTTCCTAGAGAAAACCAAGTCGATAATATTTTGTGGCGTATGTCCTGGGACACTCATTTTTTTTTAATTCGCTTAGTGGGGGGTGAGTCCAACTGGGTCCACTCGGCACGGCAGCCACTGATTGGCCTATTGTAGCCTGCCCCAAGTGATTATGATGATGGAGAATTTGGTGGAATGAAGATTGGCAAGGGAAACCGAAGTACTAGGAGAAAACCCGCCCCAGCGCCACTTTGTCCACCACAAATCCCACTTGACCACACCCCGGGATCGAACCCGGGCCGTCGCGGTCGGAAGCCAGCGACTAATCGCTTGAGCTATGGCGCGGCCTCCTGGGACACTTAGTCTTCCAGATACACGTCACCGTCAAATGGGATGACACAGTTCTCAGCAATGCTATTAGTACAGTGATGACGTTTCAGACATTATCCATCGTCGTACTTTATTTAAATCAACGTTTCGGAGAGTGGACTCTGTCTCTGTCCTTAGAAAGAAAGCCTGCTCCGTTAGGCCGAATTGAAGGAGCTAGTTTCCGTCTCCGGACATATTATTTGTCACGACGATACATAGCGCGTTGTTAGGTGTACTCAGGACACCCAGGTCACGGCCAGTTGTGACAGTGTGGACGTGGAATACACACACGATGAATCCTGCGGCATGCGTTCATCCCTCGGTACCTATAACAGTCGCGCCGGCACTGCTGAAAGGGAATACGCGTTACGTTATACGGATCGACGCCATCCAGACTCCAATGTGTCTGTTGGAGCAGCGTCTCCGTGAGACAGAAGTGTAACCCCTATACCACACGTGAGTTCAGGTCAGCCGTGGACTGTACAGACAGCGTCCAGTGAAGGTGTCATAACTGTTGCTGTGTAGAAGTTCACGTGATATAGCACGAGACTTGGGACTATCCAATAGAAGTTCTTCATACCGCTATTCGTGAAAGGCGTGTCTGTCTCCAGACGGAATACATTTTTCGAACGGCTACGACATGAACATTCTGCAGATGGGCTCTTTTATTTTTTTTTTTGCACTTGTCAGTGATTTTGTTTGATATCGTCAATTTTGCACAGCTTACACAAAGAAGATTAAAATTTGGCTTTCACGAATCGAAAATCTATAATCAATAATGGAGGTAATCGTCAAAATTATTACACCATGCGTACTTTTTCTAACTTGTTCAAAGTGAACTGTACTAACTCTGTTTAATCTGTTACTTATTGTCGCGATGTTACGATTGTATAGTACTGTTGAATAATTTACTGTTACCACGGAGTAGGTAAAGCTCTAGATTTGTATTCGAAAAGTACTTGGTTCAAGTGTTAGCCTGGACAGCAGCTAAACTGACGAGGTGTTTCGTGGGCTTACTTGGTGCCTTCACGTGTAGTACCTCGATTAGGACACCGCTTCATTCCAAACCCTTCCCAGTTCATTCGTCAGTTATCCTACCAACCGATGCTGTTTGATCAAGATAGCGACAGCTTCGTAAAAGGAACCACTGTAATCACCAAGGCGCTGCATAATGGTCGCTTTATGCGTCAAACTGTTGCCAGCCAAGGAGTCAGAGACGGGTGCAGATAGTTTTTGCGGTATAGAACACTATTATTTGTTCGTAGCAAATAGAGCGAGAGAAATGGAGATTACTTGAAGAAGGGTTTCCAACTAGTGCAGAAGCCAAGAATATATGGATCTATGCATCCACTCCCCCATACGCCTTCATGGCGTAGTGCTTAAGTAGTTAAGCAGAGGCCCAACTCTACCTTTATACAGCTTTTCTCATCAAGGGAGGTGAAATGGGCGGAACACGTGAGAGCTGAGAAATGCATTTATAATTTTAGTCTTAAAATCTGAAAAGAAGGACCACTTAAGAGGACAGTATTAAAATGTATCTTCTAGAAATAGGATTTGGTGATGAGGATTGAATTAGCTGCTTCAAGGCGGAGTCTGGTGGCCCGCTGTCCTAAACACGGCACTGGAACAGAAGTAGTGACGAACGTTGCTGTCGTGTTGTTAGCTCCCCTGCGTACTGTATATGAGGTCCCGCCTTCGAATATCGGATAGGAGAACGACTCAGGTTTTCGTGGTTCATCCATGCAAATGCCAGGTATTTCCTGAACCTGCTCCAGGACCGTCTCTTTTCAAATTCATTCCAATTAGTAATTCACTTAACACTTTTTCATTCCCCGATGCGTAATCTGGGATGTTGAACGCGCCGTTTGATCAACCAGGAATAAATAAGTGAGACATCTTGTGGCAGCATGTATAGAGGAAGATAAAAGGCTGTATGGAAATATCTTAATAATTTTAGAAAGAAATGGACAGCATGCATGTACAACTTAATATCACAGAGAAGAATTGTTTGTACAAAACAACTCAAACACGGACTTTCTTAATATTTTTTATCGTGATTTGTTAGTGATTTGTGACATTGTGTAGAATGTTAGATGAAGTTATGTGAAGTACAAAGTGCTGTATATGCAGTGCGCACACTAAAATGTCACTAATCTGATTTAAATTTTTCTTAACTTTACCACGTGATTGTAGTAACGATTAAATCATTTGCCTAAGTTTTGTAAACCTATATCATAAGGTTATATTGTAGCAGCCTGTTTCACATTGTTTGTTAATTAACAAATAACTCTGATATTCCTTCATTTGTAAATTTTTGATGTCTTAAATCTGGTAACTGTTTAAATTGTGGTAGTGTGGGTTGTGACACCATGTAGTCTTGTAGGTGGATACCGGCGTTGCGGTAGAATATGCTGCTAACATTTTCAAGGGTTGAATTATATAGGTTGCAAGGACGAGAGCAAGGTGACGCGTTGCATTATCCTGTCATGTGTCGACTCTGGTGATCGTCTTATTGTGGGTTCATAGTTCCGAATGTCTCGCCGATCGTGAATGCTTTGTATATGTTCTGATAGCCGAAGTCTTATAATGGCAGTTCTACCTTGAAAGGGGCTTAAAATTATATCAGTTAACATTATTAACTCTGTCTTAAAAATACAAGTAAGTCTGCAGACATTTAAGCAATAACATATCTGGCTGAAGGGCTAACCTGTGAATAGTGGTGAACATCGAAAGTTGAAAATTCTCTCATAGACATAATAATAATAATAATAATAATAATAATAATTGAATTCAATTATTTATTTTTATGTGCCGAGTCAACAGCTGCAAGGCCAATTACAGACAGAGCACAGCGTAGATACAAGTAATTACATTAAGGGCAATTACAACATAAAGTAAAAGCCAAATTACAGGCAAGCACTGGATCAAAAACACATTGAGACAAGTAAACAAACAAACAAATAATAATAATAATCCTTTCAGTTTTCAGTGTGTGTTTACTCTTAGTAGAAAGAAACATCTTAAACACGCTCCTAAATCGGATAAATATTGTCTATTCCCAGTGTAGGAAAGATGTTAGTAGGGATTCTGACAAAGCGCCGAACATTGTCACTGATTTCTATTGCAGCTGTAACAGTGAAGTTCCTGATTTTATTGTTTCAAGTTGCAAGTAACAGTGTCTATCATTAGGGCCTTGCAAATAGTGATAGTCCACGTGTATACACTTCGACTCATTGGATTTGAAATTGATCATACAAGATAAGATGAACAGCATTCGTGATAGAGATTGCAAGTCGCCTGCCATGCCTCAGCTCAGCTCAGGGAGCGAAAAAGTTCACTCTACAGAGTACAGTGTGTTTGCAGGAACGATATAAATCCCATTTCGTCGTTCCTTTTTATTATCACTATTCTCTAATGTTTCTTGTTTTAATCCTAAATAAAAGATATCTTTAACTTATTTCAAAATGTAATTAATTTTTATTATTAAAGTATTTTACCGTTCCCAAGAAATTAACCAGTTTTAACTGATTGAATTATTTTATTATTGATATGCATACAAATAATATTACTTTTGTTATGTGCAGGTCTGTTTTAGGTGTAATGTTTCAACGGAAACACCGTAGTATCCCCAAAATACGTTCTCCTTGTTACAGTATTATTATTTTTTTTTGCTGTATGTACCCGATGCCATACTTGTGTGTATAGTACAATTAATATTACAGAAGTGTACCCAACCACATAAATGAAACATTTAGGACATGATACAACACACGTACACGGACATGTGATATCAGAGCTTGGATCTGTGCTATGTAGCGTCACGGCTGCAAGCCCGTTCGCTTGTTACATCAACTTCAACCGACGAGAGATCGTGGTAGTAATAAATCTTTTATTCCTTCTTAGGAGCCGGTACTGGACATACTGTTCTGTGTCGCCATCTGTGCAGCTGTCATTATCCCTTCAATTATGCGTGTTTTTTTCTCTAGGTTACATTTGAAGATACTTGACATCGGACTGTGCTTATGACACTGGGGTTATGAGAGTGAAGCGTCCGGAGGTTAATTCATGCTATACATACACGTCAATACGAGTTCGCCATTAACACTATGATCAGCATCAGTCGCTCCATCGTGCAGAAATAATTCATAGAGATTATAAGCTAGAAACTCTGTCAGATTTGAAATACGAAATTAGACTATAGCGTACTCTTTTTCCCTCTCATGAATATAATTAAACAACGGTTATGCGCATCTGTGTAAGAAGTACGAGTATTATCGATGCTACGCCGTTCTTCTGATTATTCTGCCTGCTTCTTCAGCAGCGAGTTCTAATAATTACCTCTTATATTAATAAAATCAAAATAACACTTTTATTATAATTATAATAAATTCTGTAGTGCCCTATGATGGGATCTTTCATTAACACTTACTTGTCAAAACAATTAAATAAATTGTAATTATCTATATGTATTGTAATATTACACTCTTCTCTTAGGCCTAACTTTTCTCTTCTTAACCTTTTGAAGACATATTTATCACAGAACAGATGCGTTAAATGAAACGAAAATAAAGTAACCAGAGTACAATTGTAACACCAACCTTTCGTCTACAGCGTTCTCGTGGTGTCTTCATTCTGTATTTTCTTCCTTCAAGTACGAATGGTGGGAAGAGCATGTTACATCTCAAGACATACAGCATATCATACAAGTAGAGTCCTAATTGTAATGTTTGTTATGCCATTCGCGAAGCTTGGCTTCTTATGTAACTGTTGACAGATGGAAACTTCATCACATTGAATGATCAGCGACTCAGTTACCTTAATTGACAAGCTTAGCCCAAGAATTCTCTTTGGAAATTCTTAGTTACTTATGCCGAACAGAGAAATCACAGTTCTCGCATTGTTATCATTTCGATTTGCTTTATTCCAAAGGAGAAGATAGATTATTTGCGACATATAAACAATTCCCCAAGAAGAGCCATAGTATTATCCTTCGTGCTTCCATCTTGTTTATGAAAATTGTCATGTCTTAGGAATGTAGAGCAATATTTGTTGAGAGCAGGAAAGAAGGAAACTTATTAGCTTCTATTGTTTACCTCAGAAAGAGAGTAAAAGAAGCAGAAAACTATCACGAAACTAAGAAGCAAGAAGAGTAAAACAGAAGACGAAGAAGGAGTCAGTCACACGCAAAATAAAGTAGTTGATCAAGGAACGCTGAAGAACACGGCTCCAACACGGTTTTCACTTTCCCATTTTCATTCAACTCGTTACGTCGTCTTCGGCGGACAGATGGCGTCTGTCATACGAAATTTACATCCTTGCCAGCAGCCAAGGTGGATCTCACTTCCGGTTCGACTGTAACAACAACTCTGTACACCCTGGAGGGTTATTCGCGACATCACCACCATCACCACGGCCATCTGCAGCAGCAAGCCCAGCAGCAGCATGGCCCCCATCATAGTGTGACGTCGTATCATCACCATCACCACCATAATCACCACCACCAAGGGAGAGTTCACCACTCCATGGCTGCAGGCGTCTTGCAGCAGTCACACCACCAGCATGCAGCGACAGCTATGGCCCTCACGCCCCTTAACGCAAGTAAGTTTACAGACTCCGTATGCTTCAGTGACAGTAATATTTTGAGGTGGCCTCTTGCCTGCGGAGAGCGCGCGGCGGAGGACAGCAGAACCGTGGTCTCCAATGTCTGTCGCAATGGAGATGTAGCGTCGCAGCGTACCTGTGGATCTCTTGGCACATATCCACCGTAATTACCTTAAGATTTATTGATACATTACGCACAATACTTAATGTGTGTCACTGGGCATTTAACTGGAGTCCGTCTCTTTGTTTTAGGTGTAGAAATTTTATCTTCTCTGTTTAGCATAGGTGGCAGTCTAAAAAGCGATATTTTTATTGCCACTATTATGACCGCGATAAGCTCCCACACTTGACCCGTCTGGTATACAACTGTCAGCACATTGAACACATGGTCACAGAAATGTTCATTTGTGAGTGTGTGGCGGAAATCTTCCTACACAACTTAAAGTTGAGAGGCCACCACAGAATATATTGTAGAGCTCGCAAGTTTTGGAGGTATTTTTACAATTAATTTTCTTAAGAAATACCGTATTTACGCATGTATAGGACGCAGCACAATTTTCAGACAAATTATAGAAAAAATAATTTTCTTGGAATATTATTACTAATATTACTAATGTATTACTAATTATGAATATAATTTTTTTTAAATGAAGTGTGATTTCGAATATAAGCCGCACCCCAGTTTTCCTCTTGAATTTTTGGCAAAAAATGTGCGGCCTATACATGTGTAAATACGGTACATTGAAAATAACACTACCATTTTAATAATTTTCTGACTACAGTACAGATAGAGCCAATAGAATAAATTACCTCTTACATAACTTATAGTTTAATATGCATTATACTGAAGCTAGCACGCGACTAATCTTTAAGGAATATCGTCTTGTAACTACATGTCTCCGAAGTGAACGGAGTTCATAGAGGTAGGCCTAGGCCCACTGGGGCTGTAGTGCCAAGGGAAAAAAAAACTACATGTCTACAGTGCCACTGACGGTGATGCTCAAACATCAACATGCGGATATTTTTTTGTTGTTTAGGACTGAACAGAGCTACCAAGCGAAGTTTTGTCCAGCGTCAGAAGCTTATACACTTATTTACTATCAGTTATAGGTTTAATACCTTGTTCTTGTCATTTTCGTTAATTAACGGGGCTACCACTTCGGTTGGTCTTCTCGTGCCCCAGAAGTGAAGAACTTCGTAAGATCTTAGGCTTGCCAGATTTATTTGCAGATTCTAAAGGACAGATGCTTCGCATTTGGTTTTTATTATCCTGTTTGGATATATACAATATATAATATAATATATATATAATACAGACCTGTGTAACCTGTAAGTCCGTGGGTCGAGTTCTTTTTGAGGAGTCAACAGTCACTAGGCTACTCAAGAATTTCCTAAAATTTGTTCAACCGTAAGGTTCATTGCCGTGTTAACAAAAGTCCGCCACTGGTCTCTGTCGTAATTCGGTTCATATCACTTCACCCCATGTAAAGTAAAGTAGCTATCACTGTAGCAGTCCATGAAGGTCCATAGCGTTGTGAGACGTTGACAGTCGGCTCAAAGATGGCGGTAAGGTTGTCAGCCTTACGCGCCGGCCGCGCTTTACTCCCCAGGAAAATTATTTAATTAATTACTCATTTCTGTTAGAGGCTGAGTATACCACAGGGCGGCTGGAAGGATTAGGTCAACTGAAAAAAAAATCCAATGACCTCATCGGGATTTGAACCCGCGACCTTCCGGCTTGTAGCATAGGCCCTCAACCAACTACGCTACCGCGTGCCCTCCTTCATCCCATGTAACCTATACAAATCGTAATAGAGGAAATTATGGCTGTTGTATCTTATTTGTTGATTTTGCGACCAGTTACGGTACAGTTCGTGCGGATTTGCATCACCGTGAGACTGAAACTGATAACAGGGTTACCGGTGTGTACAGGATTGCTAACCTTCAGACATACTGTGGTCACCTTCTTTCGGGACGAATTGTTTTTATTTCCTGATTAGGTGCTCACTATAGAAATGGATGATAATTCAAGTTTTCATATACCCCTCTTGCACCAAGTGCAACGTGTAACAGGGAGGTATGTCTCTACATTCCCATGTTTCATCCGCAGTCTCACATAACAGACTGTGGTTAAATTTTATGTTGAGAATATACACCAAACCTTGATTTGCAAATGCAACTTTTGGGCGTACTAATTTGTTATGTAACTTATAGTCTTGTTTTCCGTCTATAATGTAACAGTGTTAATTTAGCAATATTAATTCACACTTAATTCACAAATGTTCGTTAAATGTTTAAAATATCATTGAAGTTATTGAAATATATGTATATTTGATGTTTATGCTACATGTTTCAGCCGCTTAGGACCATCTTCAGGCAACATGTTTGTTAAACATCAACTGCTTTTTGCAGTGTGCACTTGATCAAATAGTATTCATTAAGGCACGTCGTTGTTATTATCATTAATTTTGTTTTTAAATCTGATGTAGAATGATTTTATAGGATGAATTTCTTCCGATCATATACATTGCAGCAGTTTTCATGTCCCACTGCGTGTGCCGCTCGCTTAGATGTGTGTATCTACTGTTGGTTTCTTATAATTACCGAAACAAATGACGATTATTTCTTTAAGCAGCTTCAGTCCATCTTTGTAATGAGGACTTATTGTATTTTTATATAGGAACTGATTTAGTAAATACTGTTTGGATGTACTCATTGCTTCAGCAGTCTGTCTGGGGTTCCTATAGATGATTTTTAAAGGATCTCTGATTCTTATCCACCACAAAACTGCCATATTAGGGTGAATGACCCAACTGTTTTGTTAAATTTGTATCGTTCATTTCGATAGTCATCAGTTACTTTGTTACTGTCGTTTCGCGTTGTATCGACTGTCGAGTTTCAGGTGGCCTAGGTTATACATCTATGTTTATTACTAGACTAGCACGCCGGTTTTCCATAAAGAAAAGCAATATCCTATCCGATTCGAGTTGGGGAAATACGTAGTTCGAATTCTTCCCCAGCTCCCGTTCCATGTAGGCGAATCACATTTTCTTTTTCTAACAAATTGTTTATAATAGAATACACATTTTCATGTCGTCGATGCCACTGTTAGGGGCTTGAACAATTACTGCCTCTCTAAATTCAGCCATGGTCTACGGCGTTTGACACTTTTGATATTTTTAACATTCTGTGTATTATGACCTTGAGTTCACGCTTGATTCCCTGAGAAGAGGCGAGAGAAACGTTTCCGCGGTATCTACGAGTATCTGCTAATCCAACTTTTCCTGTGACACATTATTTAGAATTTGTTAATTTCATACCGTTGTTGTGCTTTGCCGTAGTGTGACAGATGTGCAAGTTTTGTTTTGTTTTGTTTTGTTCATTTGCCTAACTGATTTACCTTACTTTTCCTCCTCTCCCCCCCCCCTTGACAGGTTCAAGCGGACTGAAC